CTAACCATCCAATTGCAAAATGTGGGAGAAGAGCAAACAGAGCTTAGCTTGCATCAAAAACATTGCTGCCTCTTTCTGAGTCACAGCTGTGACTGTCTCAAAAAGAGTTTAACTACAGACCTGATTAATAAGGTAATGATTAACTACTTTATTACTGGTTGAGGTTAAAAGAGAAAGAAACAGAGCCATTAAAAGCGTTCTTCTTATTACTGCGTTTTCCTTCAGATCCTTGGAGTCACAGGCGCCTCCGGAGGCGGGCAGATGGCTGCGAGGAGATAGCCCAGCCACGCTATCAGTGGGCAGGATTCACACAGCCCTACAACTTCCAGCCCCAGCCATGGGGTGAGTTAACAGCAGAGACACAACTCGCTGCTTGAGATGCCAGGAATCACAAATACGCTTCTCTGAGAAGCAGCTCAGAACTACACAGAATGAAATGTGAGTAAAAGTCCTCAGGAGGAAAGTGTCAGAAATTTCAGAGAGAAAAAAATAAAAAAGAAGGGAACGCATAGAAACAAAGATAATGGGGAACAAATATACATTTTAAGGAAAAAAAAATCAACAGAATAGGTATCACCAGCTCCCCTGAGGATCTATTGAAAGGGGAAAAGGAATACAGGAGGGCAGGAAATTATAAATAACTGTAGGTAAAACTAAGTACAACTTTACAAACTCCATTTTAAAATGTAATCACGATTAAACCTATATATACACACATTATTTAATACTATAGCTAAATCCAAATTGGCATGCTGATGTGCTCAGGGACCAGATGGCCACACCAAAAGCTTCCTAATTCAACGATCAGAAGCTTCATACACGAAATGGTGACAAGGGCACACCATCAGAGATGATATGAAGAAACAGCATAAGCATCTTGAAACAGAAGCAGAACGACACATACATGGGCTAAAACTGGAAACAAGCATTAATTAAAAAGGCCACACAAGCCAAGGCTAAAGCCATGAGATTTTTAAACTACAAAAGGAATTCTTTTCTCCCTGAGAAAGGAGAAAGAACCACTGTGATATAATGAGACGTGGTACATGTAAGGCCTGTTAACCACTAGCAACCATTCTCAAGACCAGGAGAGCAGCGAGAGCACTGCGACGCACAGCAAACCCACCTGGTCTCTTTAGAAAAAGGGCAAAAACCTGTACCAAAGTCAACAGTGAAATGATGAAATGATGAAATCAACCTCCTGTGTACACTCTTAGGAGGAGTTTGTGTTCATCATCCTCTGTGCAGTGCCCCATCTTAACCTACAAGCCTCAACTTTTCCCCCCTTCCAAGAGATTAAAACCACAATTATCACAGAATCACAGAATATTCAAAGTTGGCAGGGACCTCTAGAGATCATCTAATCCAACCTTCCCGCTCAAGCAGGCACACCTAGAGCATGTGGCACAGGGTGGCATCCAGGCGGGTTTTGAAGATCTCCAGAGAAGGAGACTCCACAGCCTCCCTGGGCAGCCTGTGCCAGGCTCTGTCACCCTCACAGTAAAGAAGTTCCTCCTCACCTGGAGATGGAACCTCCTGTGTTTCAGCTTGTCCTCCCATTTTCCCTCGTCCTATCGCTGGCCACCAATGAGAAGAGCTTGTCCCCTTCTTCCCTGCATTCTCCCTTCATGAACTTATACATGTTAATCAGATCCCCTCTCAGCCTTCTCTTCTCCAGAGAAAACAGGCCCAGCTCACACAGTCTCTCCTCATACGAGAGATGTTCCAGTCCCTTAATCATCTTAGTTGCTCTTCACTGGACCCTCTCCAGAAGCTCCACGTCCCTCTTATACTGGGGAGCTCAGAACTGCACACAGTGCTCCAGGTGCAGCCTCACCAGAGCTGAGTAGAGGATTATGCCAGGAAATAGTTGAATTCTGCTTTTTCTTATAGTCCATTTGCTTCTGCTTCAGAAGGGATATTATTTTGTCTGGGATTAGCTGAGAATCTGCTATGAACTAAGTAAAAATTGAATCTTCAGGTCATGAGTATTTATTATTTTTTTTCTGCCTCCCAACTATGAGCTCTCTCTAATTAAACCCATCTTTTAAAGGTAAATTCTATGCAAATATTTAATAACCTTTTCCCCTTTAACTCTGTTGGTACCTTTCGATTTCATATATCAGAAAGTTATTTTTATTTCCTTATTTTCCTACAAATGATCATGCAAAGGCAGGAGACCGAACCTGATGTAGGCAGTAAACGAAGAACGCAGAGAATGGGAGCAATTTTCAAAGAAAACTATGTAGAAAAAGAGCAGGGGATCATTTTCAAATTATTGCACTCTCCCAAAACAAGAGAAGCGGCGGGGGGAAAGCAACGTCCTTGAAAGGCAAAGCAAGGAGCTTTGCAAATGACTGATCTTTTTCCCAAACAGCCCCAAAGGGGCAGTGGTTAGGTTAAATAGCTAATGAAACATGCAGTATTCCCATCTTTGCAGAGGCCTAGACCAAGGCACAAGATTTTGTGTCCTCTCTCAGGCCACCCCGGCCCAGCAGCAGAGCCAGCCCATGTGCAGCGCTGGCTGCAGAGGTGCTCAGGAAAGGAGGAAATGCTCCTCTCCACTCTCTTGTTTCTTTGGCACAAAGCAGGACAGAAAACATAGCAGGACGGACAAGCTTTCCCCTGAGAAGCGCTGCAGCTACTTGTTGTCAGAGCATGTTGTGCCTCTCTGCAACTCCTGTGTTACCTGCCTTGCTCCCGGCCTCAGCAGAGCAAAAGATGAAGGGGAAGAAATATGTCGGCCACCGAGAAGGAACAAAAACGTTTTGTGCATCTAAAATACGTCTGAAAAATTAATTTCAGTGAATACCAGGTCAGTAAGCATCTAGCAAATGAACAGATGAACAGCTCTCTGCTGCTTTCTTTTTGCCTTTTTTTTCTATTTTACCTTTCATTAAAAAAAAACAAAACAATTCCATCTAAACTCAGCTGAGCATCATAAAACCCTTCATATTTTAAAGCACTTTGGAACAATTATTTTGAAGGGAGCCCTTGACAGCTAAATGACTCTGTTAAATGAATGTTACAGAAGATACATAATGATTTCTAGTGAAATATTGAATTTAACCACAAATGAGGAAAACCAGCCATAAGCGCGCCGGGGATATTTCAATGACGTCTTGCCTGGGAGTTAAGTGGACTTTGGCTTAGTGATGAAGCCATCACCGAGGCAGCCCCGGCTGAGATTGCCCACTCTTTCTTGACTTCCTTGTTTGCTTTGTTTGCTTTTCACTTTTATTAGAGGTTTCTCTGTCCTTTTTTTTTTTTTTTTAATCTAGGAAAGCAGTGGGGAGGTGTTGATACTGCAGCAACTGGTGCCATAGAGACTGCAGTGCTCGGGCAAAGCCCTGCTGCCTATTGCAGCGACGATGCTCAGGAACCAAACTCCCCCTGAGCAAAAGCCAGTGTCCCCAAGGAGCCTGCTCCTGCCCTTTGGAGAGGCAAAACACCTGCTGAAGTTAGGGGCAGCTTTGGAGAGTGAGGACCAGGCAAATGCAGCTCAGAGTTACTTATCCTGCAGAGCCTTCCACATCACTCAGATTTCTTATTTGCTGTGGGATTTACGCCATTTCTCATTAGCATACTAGAACCATGTTTGAAGTAATATTAGAGTTTAATTATTCTTTTCCTGATTATTGTTATTATGCTGCAGCATGAGAACAAGGCACTGTTCTTCTGATGCTAAAATGCCACTTGTTAGAGAACTTGATTTGCTGGAAGAAAAAGAAATGAATTGAAAACAATCTACCAGGACTGTATTTCTCTGTGTATTTAGAGAGGAAAAAGAAAAATCCTAATGCTGAAGAAATGAGGCCGAAAAATAGGGATCATATGTATTCAGCCTCTGCAGGGAAATGAGGTGGAATGACTGTTTCACAGTAGAAAGGCCAACTACAGGCATGAAGGCAATATTTCTCGGGATCTACCGCCTGTCTAAAGCTTTTAGCTCTCCAGTCTAACACTAAAAACACACGCAAAGAAGAACTGATTGTTGGAACAATCAAAACGTGTTGGGAAGCGGAGGATTCAGCAATGAAACAAACGGACAGAATAAGATCCGTGTTGGAGGATTAACCTAACGAGACAGTGAAGCAGCCACAGCTACGTAGCAGGTCTGCAAGAAGCAGGTAGCTCCCCCCGCCAGTCCTTAACCCCCCGATGGTTTTATTTCTCTAGCCCCAGCTGCTGCGCGGCGCCTCCTCGAGATTTCCAGCCCATTTGTGGTGCCCGGAGCAACCCCGATGCGGGGCTCCTTGGAGAAGGGCTCCGAGCCGACCGCGTTCCCCATCATTTACCCAGGCAGGTGTGCGAGCTCATTCACACTAATTTGCTTGGAATCTGCTCCCACTGCATTCCACATCCCCCTCCACTTACAGAAACAGCTGCTCAAAGGGGAGGAGGAAAAAAAAAAGTAAAAACAGAAAAAAACAGGAAAATAAAAGAGCCCCTTGGCTCAATGCTAGCCTATTTAGCCTCAGAAATTATGGCTTAAAATATTGCTGGACTACTGATATTAGCAGCTACAGTGCTCACAAATGGAACAGCCTTTGCTCTCTTCCCTCTGGATGACAAATACTAGAGCAACAGCAATTTTTAATTCAAGCAAATAACAAAATCCAGAGAATTCACATCTAAAAGAAACAATTCTTTTTTTTCCCCCTTGTGTTTGGGGAGGACTCCCAACCATCCCTCCTTCCTCGCTCCCCCACTTCAACCCATTGGAATGAACGTAAGCGCATGTTTTCCTTTAAGAGTCGGCCCTGGTTCAGTGAACAGGCTGACATGTTATTTCATGTGAGAAAAGAAGCTGTGCTTTTAATCTCATTTTCACTCTAGATTCCTCCCTAATGCATCTGGGGATAGTTAAGCCTGCATTCGCTATAAGACATCTGCATCACACACAGTTGGGCCCTCTGTGTTTCCACAGAGCATAGGTGAAAAATTAGCTGTGTTGCTGGCACCTGCTATGCAAAAACGATAAATCTCGGCATACTCACAGATGTAGAAATATTCCCGGCCTGGCCTGAACTCAAATCCTAGTGAGAAGGGAGTGAAGAGCTGGAATTTTTCTGAAAACTTCAACGGTCCGTTTGGGGAGTGCGGCCGGTTGCACTCCCACCGCTTGAACCCTTTGGAGGTGTGATCGCAGGAGCTGTACCCGTCAAAGTTCACCATGTACAGAACATAGCGTTCGGTCTTGTCTTCTGGCACTGAATCTTCGTAGTGAGGGCAGAACACATCCAGGTAGTCGTTGATGCACACGTCGATGTGGTAGTCGCCCCTCTGGAATCTAAAACGAAAGGAAGAATTCAGGGAAAAATTAAAAAAACTGCAGTTAACTCACAATGACTTTCCTGTAGGATTGTGCGTTCGTACAAGGGGCATCACTAACAGCATCATTCATTTCACTCCAGTCACGCACCTTCACTCGCCAGAAACGACCCTCACAGCTCACCAGTCATCAGAGACTGCTCATGCAGGACCACGGCCAAAGGGGCTTCTGGATACAGGTTTTACCCCTTCGTCTTACAGCATGAACCTCCAGCTACAGGCTATTTTTCCCTCTGACTTATTGAACAGGCAAAGGAAGAAAGTGTCTGCTTTATTCATTATTTATTTATTTATTTATTTATTTATTTATTTACGTTTAAATTGGAGAAAGAAGCAAGGAGAAGCAAACAAGCAAAAAGAAGCAAAGAAGCCCAAACAACACCAGCCTCCGATCAGCATCTCTCTGACCACCTACAAATGCACCAAAGCACATAAGCCAATGCCCACCTCTGCTCAGGATGGGGCAGCAAGCACCCCTTGGCTGAAGCCCATTAGCCTGCAAGGACTTCTCTAGGCCACAGCAGCACACAGGGGTTTCCCCTCTCTCCCTTACATGTTGGGATGTGGAGTCTATTTTGGGATGGGGACACCTCACTTCCCACCCTCTCCGCGTGACTCCCATCACTTCTCCACAGGTGGCACACACCCGTGAGGAGCTGCTCCGTGGGAGCTCGCGCCTCCCTCCTTCACGCATGCAGTTGTCAAGTGCATCGCACAGCAATAAAAGGGCCGTGACAGATTTAACTATAATACTTCTTTTTAGCTGAGGGGCATATTTTAAACACCTGATGGGCTTGAAATCTGCCATCTGGATCTTTCTATCTAATTTCAGAGAAAAAGCAATGATCTGCCAGCCCTCCAAGGATAAATTCAGAGCAAACTATATCTTTTCATATCCCTACAATAATTTTGCTTCAATAAAATAGCTTTTTAAAGTGGAAAAAACTGAACATGCATCAAAGCATGATATATCTGTATAATTTCAGCCAGTGCACAGCCTCATGGCTCCACTCTGCAACACGGAGAAGTCTTTCTGAACCAGAGTCATTTCAGCAGAACTCACATTTATCTAAATCATTAGCCAGAGATACATTTTTGTACTCCAGCGCTTACCAAGCCTGTCACCTGCACAGCTACTGTCTTAAAACTTTTGCAAAGCTGTATTGTTTTTGAATTGGTCTTTCTTTTTTTTTCCCCCATATCAGTTAACAGCACGTCGTTTCTTACAGGTAATGAAAGGGGGCACCTTTTAAGCTCTGAAGAGCTCTGAAGAGGAAAGTCTAATTCTGGAAGTGATCTCTTTTTTTATTTTTTTCTCATACATTGTATTCTTAGTCAGTAAAAGTGACACACTATACATATATATAAGATAGAGGTGATGGGCAATGCCAGGTTTCTGCGCTGCTGTTCTCATGGCTCCCTCTGGTCCCACGCTGTGCCTTCACAATAACGCCCAGTCGCGGCTTTGTGACAGGAACCTTCAGAGCTACACTGAAACGCCTGCACTGAATCGCTCTCCTTAACTTTAGACTCTCACAATGCTGCTGCCCTTATGTGAACCGCTTCTCCAGGTTTCCTTTAAGCCAATGAAGAGAAATAGGCGCTTCCAGAGCCCCATTCATCTGGCCTGCTTAGGCCCAAGGTGCAGCGGGAGGAGAGGAATCGCGCTCCAGGAGCGGCTGTTTCTCTCCTTTAACTGAAAGGAGAGTCTAGACAGACATTTCACAGACATTGTATGCTGCAAAAGGCTAAATTTGAAGGGATGAATCCTAGCAGAGAGCCTATGATAATGACAATTATAAATACAAAGAGACAGACAACTTAATCAATTTGTGATCATACCTTCAATCCACATTAGCAGTGAAATCACGTTTGTAGTCTGCACCACAGAGCTTCTCCACCCAAATACTGCCAACAAGGGCAGAGCCCTCCACCGTATTCCTTTCAAACAAGCAAAAACTCGACCCAATCTCCCTCTTTGGCCACTGTGATTTTAGGAGATTCACTTTTACTCCTGCTCTGTAAGTGCTGAACCAGTTGAGCATCCTCCTTGCCTGTGTGCACACAGCCAGGCATGCAGAGGAGAGGATGCAAGCACAGCACACCTGAAGATCCTTAAGATAAATATACAACTACTGCATTTTTATCCTACTGCCTTTCCCTCCCCTTTCCCTTTCCTCTTCCTCTTTCCCTGACACTCCACAGGCATTTGCTGTAGCCAAGATGCTTTTACACATAAGGGTCTAAAGAGAGAGAAGGTGCCTATGTAAAGTGATCTAAGTCGGCCTTCAGCTCATACTGCTGCCACAGCAGGGAACCTGCTCCAAGGGGAAACCAAACGTACCAAGGTATTTTATCAAGCAGCTCCGAGTGAAGCCTCCTCACTCCATAAATATAGCAAGAGCAATACTGAAAAGACACACGGTGGTTATTAGCCGACGACAATGCACAAAGCGAGTATTTATCTCCCCTCCTGTAATGCTTTAAAGAAGTTCCACTTCAAACTAAGGGATTTATCAACGCTGCACGGGCTCAGGAGCACAACATGCAAAGGGGAGGTGGAGTTCGTTCATAAATATTTTTTGAGAGATGATAGGAAAAACAGCTCTGTACTCAAGGTATAAGCCATTGTTCCTTTCAATCCTGAGTGAAAACCTGGCTTTTCTAGAGTCCCCAGATGCCGATGCTCCCCACTTCCTCACTCAGGCCTCCAACCCTGTGACAGGGGATGCTCCCCTGGACCCCAGCACCATCCCACTGCATCCATGCTGCTCGGGATCCTCATAAACCCCTTTACAAGGCAGAAACCAGCCATATCTACCTTTTTGCAGAAACCAGCCCTATCTACCTTTTGCAAAGCACAACATAGTAGCACAATAGATAACTAAGCGCAAAAAACTTTCCCCAAATCCGGGCAGGATCTTCTTGGAAGCAGCGTCATTCGTCTTGCTGCAACCCGGCTGGCACATAGCAAGACACAGCTATTCTTCAAATGTAATTAACCTTTGTTTTCTGTCAGGTGGCATTCAAATGGGGGCCTGCAAACTTGCATGCTACAAGGCTGGCTATGAGGCAGTAGGGCTATAAAAGCCGACCGAGACAAAGACAGATCTTAAGTAGCTTCTGCACCTGAACACATCCATAAGCACCAAACAGCAGCTTGTGCCAGAAAACTTGCACAATGCTTCCAGCACTGACAAACATGCAGACATTTCTCTGCTTAAATGCCACTGCACAACCACCCAGATATTCAGGATACAGAAGAAAAAAGAAAAAAGAAAAAAGAAAAAAGAAAAAAGAAAAAAGAAAAAAGAAAAAAGAAAAAAGAAAAAAGAAAGAAAAATCATGGCTATTTTGAGAGGCGATATGTAAGACCATTTTCTAAGTAATTTTATCCTCTCTATTCTGTTTATCCATTAATACAAGCACAAGTAAGTACACAGACTGTGTGCATGCATCTCTTCATAAGTGTAATTTCTGAAGCATATGTGGCTCATCTTGAATTTAATGTTTGCTGGTCACTGAAATGAGTGAACATTGATTTAAACAGATACTTAGAATGCAACAAGTTTGCTTGCTGCTCTTTGTTTCTTCCTTCCTTTCCTTCATGAAATAAACACTATAAAAAGCCAGTTTAAAAACAGCACAAATAGCACTAATTGCCCATTATCATTTAGATCGATAAAAAATTACCATAGCTTCTGCTTGTTGCTTCCCATACAAATCTTGTTAGTTATATTCCATTGCCCTTCCTGTAAAACAGACATGCCAGCTGCTCTACTTCAAGATAAGTGTACTAGAAATTTTTCCTCTTCCTATGTCAACCTTTCTTCATTTGGAGTCTGTTGTGTTTAAAGTGTGGGGCAATTCTTCCATAAGAACCAAAGATACAAATAACTGCTTTAACTACGAATTAGGAAGTTGTGATCTTCATCCTAGCCTCAAAGTCATCAGGTGCAAAGAGCCCTGGGTCTGCTGCCCTGCGTGCACTGTTTGAGGCAACTAAACCAGTTTCAGCTAAATTTGATGGACACAGAGGCATCTCGAGGATGAACTCGCAGAGAGGATCCCTCAAGCATTCCAGCCAAGGATGAACCCCCCAAGACAGGAGACAATTCGAGTAAAGAAATCCCGCGTTTCTGGAAAACACCACCGCCCTTCAAAGGGAAACCATTTTGGCAGCTCGTAGGCCGCAACGAGGCTGCTGCTCCCGCCCTGGGCGCTGCGAAATGGCCGCCTCAAGGACAGCCTCAACAGGAGCGGAGCCGGAGCTCGTCATGCTGCCGCCATGACACAGCATCGGACCTCGTGCGCTGCCTCAGCAGGAGCAGAGCCAGAGCTCGTCATGCTGCTGCCGTGACACGGCGTCGGACCTCGTGCGCTGCCTCAGCGGGAGCAGAGCCAGAGCTCGTCATGCTGCCGCCATGACATGGCGAGGGACCTCGTGGGCTGCCTCAGAGGGAGCGGAGCTGGATCTTGCCGCACTGCCGCTGCCGCCATTAGGCGGTGGGGCACCTCGCGCCACCGCTGCCTGTGCCGGCCCAGGCCTCCCGCCTCCCCGCGCCGTGAAGGAAATCTCGTGGTCGCTAATTACCCGAGGCGCTGTGGGATTTAGCGCCCCGTTCTGCTGCGGGTAATTTTGAAGATGCTATTTTTGCGCTACCCAAAAATAAGCCCTTTGGTCCTTTTCGGCTCTTTTTCTTTCACTGGCTTTGTCACAGCACTTAATGAACGCGGCTCCCATCGCTCTGCTGACATCACCATCGATTCTGATGCACAAACAATGAAGTAATCAAAGAGCTGTTTTATATTTAGCTCTATTCAAACCTCAGGAAAATTCAACGTTTTCCAGATGCTAAGTGAAGCGGGTTTGCTAAGAGTAGCAAACCAGTGACATTTCAGATCTCTAACAGGATATTAGTACCCCGAGCAAGCAAACAAAACAATAAAAAAAGGAAT